AATATCTGTTAATCTCAGCTGTCAGCTGAATACTTCTGTGTGATGCTGCTTAATTAGAATGACTGGCAGTGATTGTCGAGGAATTGAATAATAAAGTAGTATTAAATGAAAATACTCAAGGAAAATAGAAGCACCTTTTAATTTTACCTACTAACTTCACCAATGAAGATACAGTATCAGATATCGAACAATGAATAAAGAAAGAAAAAAACTTTAAAGGCAACAAAAACAAGTTGGGAAGAAGTGTTTCAGTTGAGTGTCTTAGAAGTACAGAAGAATGCGTGTGAGTGGATGAGAAATTTTTAAGTGACAAAAGGCTTATTGTTCACTTTGGGACAGAAGTCGTTTTGGTGGAAACCAGGAAATATTCATTTATTTAAAAAGTATCCCTTAAAAGGGCCTGAAATTGAACTGACAAATTAGAAGTACAAAATATCCAGTACAATAAAGGTCCAGTGTGTAGTATTTAGTGGCATTTAGCAGTGTAATTGCAGACCGCAACTTCCTCGCTTCATCCTCCCCTTCTCAGCCTGAAGGAGAAGCTACGGTGGAACGGTGAAATGCACAAAAGACACAAATGCCCCTATCTAGAGCTCTGCTACACTAAATGGAACAGAACCTTAATTCATATCATTAAACATCTGTGTTTACCCTACTGATTCATGTCAAAATGGCTGCTGTGAAAAGTTTTGTTATAACCAAGGCTCTGATGAGAGCACTGGTAAAAAAAGACAAATGTATTCAAACATTGTATCTTATGATTATAATTTTAAAAATCTGTAATCTGTTGTTTAAAAATGTAGGGAGCACAGTTTTTTTGTACATTCATATTACAATGTAACTGATAGGCAGTAAAACAGCTGATTTTGTTGTTGAAAATACGAAGACAGACAGTGTTGATTAGGAGGTTAGGAGGACTCGCGTCTGTATTTCACAACCTGGTAATGAGAATAGGAAATGAAAAAAATAATCATTAGAAAATGTCATCGTAACAAATTGCAAATATGATTTCCACTGGTTCTAGTATTATGTGGACTGCAATTGTGCATGTGGTTTGTCCAAGAGGTGTTACCGTACCCCAGCAGAAGGTGATGCTCAACTGCTGCATGAAGATACAATAAATGTCAAACACTGTACTGTCTCTCTATTTCATTACTTTCAAATGTATTAAAATGGAAAACTAGAATGTAATACGAGTGTTATGTAGGCTATATTAACACTCTGAACCTAATGTACAGACTCCTGTTGGTCTCCAGGCCACAGACCCACAGAACCCTCTGCAGATTTGGTCCACTGCAACCTTGACTCCATGGCTACGGCCTTAAAACAATTTCTTATTTTTTATGTTGTAAATTTCAGTGCTTTGTGATCACTTCTGTATTTGCCATTTTCATTAAATGACACTTTAAGACCTTTCTACATTCGGACGTTCAATATGGTCAGAAGAAAATAAATTAAATTAATTAAATCTCACATGTTGATTTGTGATTTTGTTTGTGGCTCACAAACAATGAGGAAGTCAACAAAACACTAGGGTTTAAAGTCAACTGCGTTCCACAACCAAAACTCCCCCAAACTTGTTAACCAGGAAACACGATGTATGTGTCTTTTGTATAAGTTCATCAAACTGAGACATTCAGGTCAGAAATATGCGGGTGCAGTAGTTTGAAGACACTTATCATGTCAGTTTGAACAAAGCAGAATGTTTTTTAGTCTGTGATGTGTGAGAAACAGGATCATCAAGATGTAATGTGACATTACGGACGACATCGGCATGCAGCTGAACCCACACTATAGCAGCAATGTGTGGCTGCATGTTGTTGTGCACATTGTGACATATAGACACTTCAGACTTGCAACAAGTTAATACACACACGATACATCAGAATAGATGAGATCAGTGGGGCTTTATTTTAAGTGGTTTATTTGTTTTTTTAATTCTAAAAAGGGAAAACGTGATCATAAATTATTTTCTCTTAAATAGTATTTCCTGGACAAAATTGATCTAGAGAATATATTTATTTATAAACAGAAATATTTTTTGTAGTTTAATTCTGTTCCACATCAACCTGAAACAGGACATTACACCTTTAATTAATTTCAAATCTTGATGCACCACAATCAAAAATCCATTCAGCTCAATTTTACTGGTGTGACAGCAGAAACCTCAGATAGGGATAACTTATGACTTAGCCAAAAAAAAGGAAAGTTATATGAATGCCTAAAAGCAACATATGTAAGCAAGAAAATGTTTTTACCCTCATCTGTGCAGCCTTGGGTTGAAAATCTGATGGTAGATCTGTTTTTTATAGCTACAGTACTTTCAATACTATTAAATGTTACTATTGTATCATTAGTTTTAAACATGTGGTATTTAAAAAGTATTGATACTTTTGAAAACCTTACAGTACACACGTAGTGCAAAAGTCACCAATAATATACTGTTTTCTTAACAAAAAATACTTTTAATGTCAATTTGACTAAAATAACAGGTCAAACCAAATATTGCATGGACGCGAAAATACTTCAATAAAATGTTCAATATGGTTTTGTTTTTATTTGACCGTGGAAAGAAGGTACAATTAGTTTGAAAATAAACATTGTTTTTTCAGTGAAACGCTTCAGTGACCAGTCCTGGACATGATGGACTGATGTGCGGCTGTGCGGACGTGCTGCTGATGTGCGGACGTGCTGTTGACAGTAGTGTAACTGGAGCTTTATGTTTAACTCAGTGGTCAACGGACCATTAAAACATGGATATCATCTGTCTTAATCTTCTTCAGAACAGTCTTTCAGGAACACCTTTTTGTACCCAGTCTTCACTTTTCTGTTTAATTGCTGTTCCCGGTTCCTTGTTCATTCATAGAAAGGAAAAAAATGCAACTAGAAAATGAAAGGAAAAGAACAAGAAGATTTGTTCCACCCTGTTATTGTTCCTACATAATTAAACATACCAAACTAAATGACACATGAAATGTCGTGACAACAAAGTGAGAAACGGTGTCACATGTATTTGAGATGACATCAAGTCCTTGCAGAGATCTGTTTTGTTTTCACTTGTCATAAAGCTGTCTATCCCCCCTCCTACTCTGCACAGTTTACCTCAAGGAGCTTTTCCTCATTCTCTCTAAAGCTTCAGTTTTCATACCACAACGCAAGACGTCAACTTTCCACCAGCTAATTACAGTTACAGGTTTGTCACTGCGAAGAAGATTCATATTGTAGCCCTGGTTTCTGGGAGAGACAGATCAGTGCTTAAAACAGAGACTGTCCAAACTAGAAAAACAGCAGCGCTAGTTAGTTGTTTAAAAGTGCACATATTTTGCAATTTTCTGCCCAGCAACCTCTATGAATAACTCACTGAATATCAAAGGCAGAAGTAACATAACATTGTTA